CACTTCCCTCCACTTGTGTCAGATGAGCATGGTGTGCCCTGCTTGTCAGCATGGCAGTGGGGCCACTGGGGTGTAATGCATAAATCAATGAAGACATTTCCAAACGCGCATAACCCCCATATCGCATTTCTGTGTAGATTCCTATGATATGGCAAAGTAATAATACTCCGATAAACAGCGCCAAATTATATGGATCAAACCCGTGTTTTAAAATAACCTTTTAGAGTTAACTTTTTCTTTCTAGGATTCATATAAGTAAAAACAATTATAAAAAAAAATGTTTTAAAAAGTAACCAGAGATTAATGGCACCTAATTATTTCACTTTCTGACAATTTGTGCTTTTCACCATTTTATAAAACGTCTGTTTAAATTCATCTTATTATAACGACAGGTCATTAAGGAGGACATATTCTCATCTGCCAGATACGTTTCTGTAGATTTTGAACATATTTGAATCTGTCGGCTATATTATTCACTTTTTTCTGTGGAGTGAATCATCTAAAAAATACAGACTTAAAGTGAAGATGGATTTGCTTGAATTTTTTATTATTATTACTTTTATTTATAAAAGTGTCAACTCAATGGGAACATGGACAAATTAGTAAAGATTGAAGACTGAAAATAGACTAACTAGAATAAAAGTAAAGGAAGGCCCCGCCCATGAGAATGCCAAATTTGTCAGGTGCAAAAATTCTCTTTTAACATTAAACGAAAAGGACTAAAGTGCTTTTGTGTTTAAAAAGGGGTATTAGTTCACATGATCAAAATATAATTTGCCTCTTTATAAATCAATAGTAAGCCCCCAACTTGATTATGCCATTCAATTTTAGGCACCCATTTTAAAGAAGGATATTGCAGAACTAGAAAAAAAGGTGCAGAGGTTAGCTGCAAAATTAATAAGTGGGATGGAAAACATTACTTATGAAAGAGGCTAGAAAAACTGCATTTGTCTTCTACGGAAAAAAAGGTGCCATAGAGGGGATATGATAGCACTATACAAATATGTTCGAGATCAGTACAAACCAATATGTACTAACCTGTTCACAGGCAGGAATATACAACAGACAAGAGGTCACCCATTGAGACAAGAATAAAGGTGTTTTCGCTTACAGTCGAGAAAAAGGTTCTTTAGCGTAAGAAAAATAAAGATGTGGAATTAACTACCTAAGGAGGTTGTCTTATAAATTTAAGAAGTCTTGGATGCCATTTTGCATAAACAGAATATTCCAGGATATAATTGATATGTACACTGATTAGCCACAACATTAAAACTACTGACAAGTGAAGTGAATAACATTGATAATATTGTTACAATGACACCTGTCAAGGGGTGTGATACATTAGGCAGCATGTGAACAGTCAATTCTTGAATGTCATGTGTTGGAAGCAGGAAAAATGGGCAAGTGAAAAGATATGAGTGACTTTGACAAGGGCCAGATAGTGATGACTAGATGGCCAGGTTAAAGCATCTTTAAAGCGGCAAGTCTAGTGGGCTGTCCCTGGTATGCAATGATTAGTACCTACCAAAAGTAGTGGAGGACAACAAGTGAACCAACATCAGGGTCAGGGGCACCCAACGCTCACTGAGACACATGGAAAGCTAAAGCTAGCCCATCTGGTTCTATCAGGCAGAAGAGCTACCGTAGCTCAAATTGCCAAAAAACGAAATACTGTCCATGATAGAAAGATGTCAGAACACACCTTACGTCTCAGTTTGCTGTGTTTGGAGCTGTGTAGCTGCAGACAATTATGTAACCATGAAACATTTTCTACTTACATGTTTTTCTATTTCATAGGCTACGTATTTACACCCTTTTTACACATTTCAGTGGTGTTTGATATGTGATGTCAGAACTAATAACTCCATCTGTATTATTATTAGGACCTCATCTTGTCATATTCAAGTCTTAAAGGAATTACACATTTTATAGGACACATTATGTGGAAGACAGCCAGGAAATCTGAGAATTCTTGGCAAATTGTCTCTTTCAACATTTGCATTACATTTACATTGGAATGCATATAATTTGACCACATTCTACCGTTATATATAGAACACAAATAAGCTTATTTACCAAACATTGCACCCGACAATACGCCACCTATAATGTGTTACATTTATTTGATTGTATTAGTTTGCGCTGTTGTGCTTGTTGAGCATGCATGCGCCGTGGTTGCTATGTGTGGGGAGCAGAAGAAGCTCATGTGTTCTCCCTCGTCAGTAAATGTAATCATTCCAAAGAATTAAATGATGGCTGGGGAAAATACCTATTTTTAAATAGTCCCCCCCCCACCTCCCTTTCCTCCCCAATCTATACAATTGCTAGTGTAACCGCTGGTGGTTCCCTTATTTACCACTATAATGTCTTAAAGCATAGAACTTAGTAGGGCTAACCATACAGATATCTTAGCCATAATTTTATATAGTTAGTAAGAGATCCTCTATTTACCATATATAAATAATTGAGAATACAATATAAAATAAGGATTGTCTTGGAAGCAATCGTTTTGTCTTTTTGGATATTTATTATATAAAAATATAAAATCCATTATAGCAGAGTTTATAAGATTAAATTACATGCTTGCAAATATCATTAATAGGTTAACATACCCTTCTGAACACGTCATCATGTCAGCCTTTCTGTCATTTTAAGATGGAGCAGCGTCTGTCTCCAAGTCTCTCCTCTGTATCTTAACATTTAAAAGTACACCTATTTATACCTTAGGTGTCTCCATTTTAGGTTACTGTAGTTCAAATATGAAAAAGTAACACTTCTTTTACTTTATTCAATTTAGGACCTCCCTTAATTTAGCAAACATACAAGGCCATAACTAAAGGGTGTATACGTCATGGAAATTTTCCTGACTTAGTTCAAGATGGCATCTTAAAGTCTGAATAGGTTATCTGTTGTTTATACTAAGTCGTAAGTGTACAGTCGCGGGAGATTCCCGGATTTGGGGAAGTTCCATTAACTTGGGGTTACCACAGTATATTGTGTACTGCAAGAGTCGTAGCATAGCCTTGAAGCTTGTTTATGCATTATTGTTATTGTAATTCGTCTGGGACAAAATGGCACAAACATATTATGCACTGAGGTTATTGCTTAAAGAAACAGATATGAAAAACAACACCTTGTCAGTTTGCAATATCTCTTAAAGACAAAGTACACAGTTTAAGAAATACAACATTTCATTCTAAAACTTGTAATATTTGCATTTGCCCGTAACACTAGGAAGTCTTTTAGCATGAATAGATAGAATCTTATGCTCTTTAAAGAGCTTGAGTTAAAATAGGTATGACAAGCACCCCTTAATATTTTATCTTTCTTTATGAACAGTGATGCATTTGGAGTAATTGATTAATTGATGTTGTTTCCCAAGAAGTAAATGTAACTGTATATTATATTGTAAAATATAAACTTTCAGTGCTGTTTCATAGTGCACATTTGGAAAATCACAGCTTCCAGTGACATTTGTCGCTGCAGAATTTTGACAATTTCAGTGTAATAGTTCACTTTTTTCCAGATTCCTTTAGGAGAAATGGGTTTATATATGTATGTTTACAAGTAAATGTATTTAGCCATAATTAGGTATAGAAGGCAAAATCAGCAGATAGCATTTTTTTCATTTATACATTTCAATACACAACCATTCAATAAAAGTGACCCATACACAAAAACTCTTCTTCCTGATACATTGTATACTTCGGGAATGACATAAAATAAGAAATAGAGAAACTACATGTGTTCATTCAATATCTATTTTTTAAAAACTAATCATTTTTAGAAATATATAAAAGTACCACTACCAACCATAAAATTAATGTCGCAGGTTACATTTGCACCAGAGCAACTAGCAGAGATCTCTGCCTGTCTATTTGCAGTAGCTGTTGCTAAAGCACAAACATTTTCTCTGCAATCACAGCAGGGAAATGTCCTGAAAATACATCTCAGGAGAGGTCTAATCACTCCAACCAGTCAGCAAAGGAGTTTGCGCTGATAGGAGGTTTGATTGAAAAGAATAATTTGCTTTTGCTGGCATATGCGTGGGCATAATGCTCTGTTGTATGTTCTGACTCACATGCGATGTGATCTCCATTTTTGTTTATTTGACACCTTTTTGTATAATCATTTAATTCTAAATCAGTGCTTTGAAAATAGCCTTTAAAAACATTGAAGAAGAATCATGTTCTCTATAAGCTATATGTACCTTATTTTTGTATTCTGACAAATGTAAAAATATAAATATATTGTTTATCCCTCATACTGAGGGGTTTATTCACTAAATGTTGAATTTGCTTTTGCAAAATTATGTGATTTCATGTGACTGCATGTCTGCATTCTGTAGTTAAAAGTCATCTATGGAATTCAATTGAAGAGAAATGAGTCTTGCTATTTTCATTTGAAAATGGCTTAACCAAATGCAGTGGCATGCTAACTGGGCGTCATGGGGGTTGTAGATAGCTCCTGGTTGAAAGGCAGCAGTGGGTGCACAGATTACCCCCCCTGTGGAAAGATCAGCCACGTGCTTACCAGTGCCTGCTCCGCCAATATGCGTTGAGAATGCTGCTGGAATCACTCTTCACTGGCTGCACAGCTTACTCACACTCCCTGTACTGATGCTGTGTGTATGTATGTGAGTATAAGTGTATATGCATGTAAGTATGTGTGAATATATATATGGCATTATGATTATTCGTGTTACACCTAATATTTTCATTTCTAAGGCCAAGTCTTCTGTGTGTCCAATTGTGAATAATATGTTTTGTATCAAAGATAACACCTATTTTTGCGTTTTTTTTGATCAACAGCAAAAAACAAATGTGAGGTAGGCTGAACTTGATGGACGCAAGTCTCTTTTCAGCTATGTAACTATGTAACTATATATAGACTTGTGTTTTACAGTATATGAAAAAGTATAAAAGTATAAGTAAGTACTTATAAAGATATTTTGTCCTTATTATTTCAAACTACAACACCAGAAGCACCAAAATATTCATAGGATTTCTACTTGTGCTAGACTTTTGATTGCTACATTTTGGAATATTTCCAACCACATCTTAAATGCACAGAAATATATGGCACATCTACCCAATGGATTTGAAAGCACACTTGGAATCCATGGGGAACCAAGACCTTAAGGTCACTCATTTATTTTCTTCTAGGCTTGCAGATGGTCTGCACCTATTCCCTCTCCCTCGCCTTCCTTCTCTATGCCCTCTACTTATCATTATCTTAGTTAGTTTGTCATTATTTAAAAAATATATAAGAATTTAATCATATATGACTGAAATACAGTAGAAAAAAAGCTATTTTCCTTAAAACAAAATAAATATTAACTATTCGAAATATCAATAAAAAACAACAAACTTATATCTAAATTATACAAATACCTGTATCTTATTACCTTCCTTTCCCTGCTACTCCTATATTCCAAATAAAATATTCTACTTCTAAATTGTTATGGGAGCATACTGGAGAATCGGGGTCATGGGTGATGAATTGGAACTTTACTTCTGATATTATCCCGTAGCCAATGAGGGCACGCCACTGGGGTAGCCCACATGTAGCAAGGCTTGTTGCCTGCTCGTGAGCCACATGTAAATATATTCTACTACTAATTAGGTCATATTTTTCACTTCAGTCTCTCAAGGTACATCTCCTCAAATCACAAATTTGGCCTGTAAATGCTTCTCCCGTCTACCCTTGCTTCACTTTGCTTTACAGATCCCAATTCTCAAAGTGTATGAAATCATATCTAATTACTTTATCAGCTTCTTTATAATTTCTTAATTGTTCAAATTCTGAAAAATAAGGAGAAAGTTTGAAGATGACTTCAAGGGCATTGAATAATATTTAATTTTGCCAAGTAATTTTTATATAAATTTTAATATTAATGTTAATCAACATTCAGAACAAGAATGTTGTTAAATACAGTGTTTGAATCATAGCCTAGGTTAAAGGGTGCAGTGCCAGAAAGCCTACACATGTACAGATTGTTCCATCCTTAATGTGAATCTTCAACATAAGACTTCTGCGAACAGCATTGTGAGGTTTGTATTTTGCACAAAGCATATGCAAAATCAATTTCAGAAAAACCTTTACTGAATGTCCATTAAAGTTAGTGGAACATTGTTGGGCACAACTGTACATAAAAGTCAGCATGCATGATTTCCAAGAGTATCTGCACTCGAGACACTAGGCAGAGCTCTGTTATGTGGCTCCATAGTCAATAGTTCCCCCTGCTCCATAGTTCCCACATTACCCTCAGTCTGCAAAATCTTCACATCCTAGTCCAATAATACAGCTGAATTGAATGATGTTACCCTCGCTTCAATCATAATACCCTCAGCCCCTTGGCCCTCATAGAAACCGCCATGCCCGGTGTTTATTGTGGCACATTTGCCTAGAGAAAGCATGTGTATATCTTGTGGTACAGTAACCATCTCCCAAACCCAACCCCCATGCTGTATGTAAAAGGCAGGCTGGTAAATTAGAAGCTGTGCTTATGAATTTTACCACATGACAGGAGGCTTCATATTTGCATATCTTTCTTTACTCAAAACTCCAGCAGCATAGTAACATAAACAACCAATCAGAAAAAAGATATAATGCCCATAAAAGGCCCTGTCTATGACATCACTTCCTCTTTCTTTGCTGCTCCAGCCAACATCAGATCAGAGTATTTTGCCTCTCTAGCAATTGCTTATATACATTGTTTTTCTCACATACTTTGGTTTTTTGTTCCACTGTATTTTGGATTGTATTGCTTTAATTTAATTAATTTAATTAATTTATTTATTTTCGTTGGTTTATTTTCGGGTCCCCTTACCCCTGCCCCTGCAGTGTTTTAGGCCCCCCCCCTATTACCTTCCACTGCCGATACCCGCGAGCACGGCTGTCAGTGCCGCGCGCCGCGGGCCGGCTAACTGTTTTCTCTTTGTGGGGGCCGGCAGGGGGACGGGTGGAGGGGGACTAGGAACTGCGTTCCCCCCTTTTCGTTCCGGCGCCGCGCGGTCTATCGCGGCGCACCTTCACACGCGGGCGGCGGCCATCTTGGATCTCGCGGCTCGCGAGATACCGGATGGCCGCCTTCCCCGCTTGCCCGGCGGATCGGTAACTCACCCGACCGCCGGGCTCCACATCTGTATACCCTCCCTAGTTAGTGTAACAGATTTATTTTGCCCTCCAGGTGATATCTTTGTCCAGTGCCTGCCTGCTGTGCTGCCCATTGACAATACATGCATGCATTAAAAGAGACAAACACCCCCCCTTTTTGTTGCCAGCTCAAGACCTTTATGTCTCTATACCCTGCTTAGGGTCATACCAATTAATATACCCCAATTAGGGTTATACTATATACTGTTATACTCTCCACAAGATCAGAGTTAGGTACAGGGTCATACCATATTACTATACCCTGCACAGGGCCATACTATATTACTATATCCTACAGGAATCACCCGATCACCGTGCCCTGCATCTGGATTAACCCCTTCAGGGGTCCCCCTCTCTGGGCACATTCATTTATTGATACAATTATTATATTTTATTCTCATGGATATATCTCTCATGGTGCCTTACACTGGATGAATATATGTTGAGCAGGCACACAATCTATGTATTGTTGTGAAGCCATACAATATCACAGTCGTTATACAAAACACATACTGTACCTATAACAAGATCAACTATATCACCGTACCCTACGAAGGACATATTGTGTTACTGTACCCTACAAAGGGCATATTATATTATATTATTGTACCCTACAGAGGGTCATATTATATTACTGTACCTGACGGTGCAAATTTGTGTGGGTGTCCTCTGGGTATTTTTTCATGGCACACCACCTGGGGTGACCCCCCAGATATGCATGCAAGGTCACTGACAGACCATTACCTTTGATGTGGGTGTCCTCTGGGTTACCATGGCACACCACCCGGGGTGAACCCCGATCATATGCACGGAGGCCTACGCCACACTGCCTGTCAGTTTTACATTAAAGCAACAGTACCATGCCAGATGCGTTTTGACGGCAGGATCACTAAGAAAACTGAGTGTATTGCGGTGTACCCTTCACAGGGATACATATATGTATATTTACTGTGCCTAGTGTACATATTGAACGGGGGTGTCCTCTGGGTAATTTTCCATGGCACACCACCTGGGATGACCCCCAGATATGCATGCAATGCTTGTAAGGTGCCAATAATTACAATATGGGTGTCCTCTGGTTTACCATGGCACACCACCTGGGATGAACCCAGCCTAATAGACATGGGTCCTGCGGCTGCAGACCTTATGGAGACAGGCCCCATGCGCCTATATACAAAGCCTGTATAGTTAAAAACCGTGCATACAGCTCTGGCGTACATTTGTGGTGAACCCGGCTAGCCAGACCGACACCACTACCAGTCACCGCCTGCACCACGACTCTCAGTAGCCAGATTAAACTAACAGAGGTGACCCCTCTACACTTGGCACGAGTATTCATACTCTCGGACATACTAAAGCAGGCAATTCAAACCGTTTTACCTGGGTGATCCCCAGTTCTACCAGGAGTCTAACACCCCTACGTGCTGACCCTCACACTATCTCCCAACAGGACGGGAACGAGTCATGGTGGACACTCTCAACGTTCCCAAGATTTCTAGGCAACGATAAACGCCACAGTAACGGCCTCAGTGGAGAAGGTTCCGTTATGAACTCTACCTCACACCGCTTGATGGAGACCTCAGGCCCACAAGCCTTCAAGTCAAAACGGCAAGGGAAGGGCTCCAGCCCCCCTGCCACTAAGGTCAAGGGCAAGACGCCCATCGAACAGACCAAATAGGCGGAGCACCGGGAATCCAAACCCCGTCCACCACAATCTTCCGACAAAGAAGACTATTACCCACCATGTACTTTGGACATGGTAGATGAGCGACACGAAGGCAGCTCACCGTCTGAGGAGATGGAACGGCAAGACCTTCCCCACACTTCCTCGAAGTACGTTAGGGAAACCTTACTCTGTGACGGCGGCTGAGGCAGAGATAACTGTAACGGCACTAAACCAGAGTAGCCGAAGACGGAACGTTCCTGGACTAACACTATTGGCTGCGCAACCCTCGGGGGATGGAAGGATGCGCACGCTTCAAGACCGAGTTACCCCAGGGTACACAACTCAACCCTACCACCTCCAAAGAATGGTCTTAATGCTCGATATGCCTCCTGGGCAACGTAAATGACGCACTATGCGCCGACAGACGCAAATCTGTACTTGGCCGCATCGACAACACACTATTGGACTTAGGAACTACAAGAATTCGGCCCAAAGCACAAGGCCTACTATTCGACGTAGTGTTCATTGCAGTATTCAAGAAACACGTGAATTTATTCACCACACTAAATTAAACCCAGACCTCGCTAAAACAAGTCTTCCTCAACCCTACGGGGAAAGGTGTTTCTGGGAGGACTGGTCGGTAACTGAACCGAGCCACCAGCCGCTTCTGGGCGACAGGTTCCAGATCGTATACACAGTCCTCATATTTCTCCCATCTACTACACAAAGGAACCCATCCGCTTCATCTACTAGTGTGTCAACCTACATAACTAACTGTTTTCCAATATTATGACCGGCAACCTGTCTCTGTTTTACAGAATTGGGAGACGACTACCAAAGTCACCTGGGTTCTCCAGACAGTACAAGGCTATGTCTTAGAGTTTTATCACAGCCGTGCAGGTCGCCCCTTCACCTCCATTACGCACGCTGGCGGAACAGGAACGCCTCGTGGACAAGAAAATCTGCACCCTCTTCAGGAGGGGCGCAATTCAACATGCAACGGAGGGGAAGGCTTCCCCAGCAAAAATTTTCCTGGTCAAGAAGAAGCCAGGAGACTACATCAATGGAACTTCTACATGGTATACAAATGCTGCAAGATGGAGGAAATTCGTCTTCTACAAGACCTCCTAGGCGATAACGACTGGTTTACACATCTGGACCTCAAGGACGCACGCTTGTCAATACCCGTTGCCCTGGACTGCCGAAGTTTTCCTCCGATTCCAATGGTGAGGACAAACACGGCAGTTTACGACTCTGTGGTGCTCGCGAACCTACTGTAACCAGTGAGGGCACACATCCGTAAATTTGGGCTTGCGATGCCTCGTATACTTGGAAGACTTGCTGATTCTTTACGAATCCAGGCTACGTTTGCAGACAAATTTTGTCGTTCACTTTCGGGACTCCATGGGTTTTGTTGTACACAGACAAAGATCGCTTCTCCATCTGAATCGGGCCAGTTTCTCGGTTTCGACATCGGCTTGGAGAGCTAAGTTCCGCGTCCGTCTACGGCAAAGAGCGCCTCTATAAGGATTGCTGTCGGATTGTGAGATTCCTCTCCTCCTCCATACAAGCGTTATTCCCTGGCCCACTACGACTGATGGTGAGATACATACGCACCGGTCACTCATACGACCACTGGATCCCACTGTCAGCGGAAGTGAGGATGGAATTTCGATGGTGATTACTTCACATACAAACTTGGATTGGCAAAACGATCTTTGACTCTTCCTTCGGATACGGGGCGATGGATGAACCCCTGCAAACGCGACCCAGCCGTTCTCCACAATAGCAAGGGTGCTTCGATACACACACACACCCACAAGATATCGCTCCTGCTCATGACACCCCTCGGGCAGGGCCAACCGTGATTTCCCGGATCGCCTGGAGATGTCTCGCGGAGACCCTCTACTACTCCCTACCTTCCCTCTACTTCTGACGGGACCTCGAGGGGAAGCCCACTCCCTTGTCATGGAAGGACAACTGGCACTAGTTGCCTGGACGGCTTCAGGGGCTCCTGGTCAGTTCACGACCTATTGCATCAACTAAGACCTCCTATGGGACTCATAGGCTCCCGGCACCAGGAAAGGCTATATTTCTGCCTGGTCGGCCTGGAGTGATTGGTGTGTGGAAAGGGATTCCGATCCCTTTACCGCACCTGTCCCACTGACCCTCAACTATCTGTCACACCTGGTCTCGTTGGGTCGGTCATATCGATCCCTCAACATGATCAGATCCGCCGATATCCGCAGATATCGGCGGCGCACGTTCCGGTACAGAGCAGACCAGTAGGTCAAGATACACTGGTTTGTCGACTACTGCGGGGTGTCGAATTGTCGAGATCCCTGCACCCAAATATTCACGCCTCTGGCAGGTGGATGTGGTGCTGAGATTCCTTAGGGAATGGCCGGACAATCCTTGTTTGTCACTGAAGCAACTTTCAGCCAAACTAGCCCTCTTATTATGCCTCGCCTCATTTAGACGGTGGCGGACGTTAGGGCTGGCGATATGGATGGTTTCTCTCTCACACCAGACGGGGTTACCTTTACCATGTCGAGATGAACTAAGTCTGATTCGTCTTCAGAGTCATACCCATGCTTTGTGTCAGACGCCTCACTATGCGTGGTCAGAACGCTAATGGGGTACACCAATATCTCTACCCCCTTCGAACTCATTCGACGGATCACCTTCTGACTTCTTACGTGAACCCTCATGGACCGGTGTCTACCGCAACACTGGCCAGATGGGTCCGCTGGTTTTGTCTTTAGCGTCGAACCTTGTTTCGGAGCCCACTCGGTCAGGGGAGCGGCGGCCTCACAAACCTTTTCGGCCGACGCTTCCCTAGCCGACATTATACGCTGCGCGGACTGAGCGCGAGAGAGTACGTTTAGAACGTTCTATTTTCGGCAAACATCTCATGCTTCCTTCACATTGGTCAATTCAAAGCTTTAAAAATGCAAATATGAAGCCTCCTGTCATGTGGTAAAATTGAAGATTATACTAGCTTTAGTGTACTAATAATCTTAATTTTAGTAATGACAGGAGGCGAATATTTCCCACCCTATAGAATCCCTCCCATGTTTCTCGTGTTGAACAGAATATGTCCTTTATGTTCAGGAAGGTAAGTACGTATGGTTTGTATGTTTGCTACTTAGACCTGTATCTTGTGGGTCTTGTATTGGCTGAATATTAGGCATGAACCTTGCATTATGTTGTGTTTATAGATTCTTAAATATCATTGCGTTAGAATAAATATATATTGATATGTTTCACACTCTAATGTTCGCTGGTATGTCAGATGCTTAATGCTTATTGTATGCGGACAAGTTATCACGCCAGATACCTTTCACCTTTTTCTTTTTCTTGCAGCGTGAACGTCTTCTCATCGTGACAAAGATTCACCTTCCATACCTCTGCATCGCGGAACTAATGGAGTTGGATATTCTAATATGTTGTTGAACTGTTGCCGTAATATGATTATGTCTCTTATTGCTATTTATTGTTTCGCTTCAAAGAAAGAGGAAGTGATGTCATAGACAGGGCCTTTTATGGGAATTATATCTTTTTTCTGATTGGTTGTTTATGTTACTATGCTGCTGGAGTTTTGAGTAAAGAAAGATATGCAAATATTCGCCTCCTGTCATTACTAAAATTAAGATTATTAGTACACTAAAGCTAGTATAATCTTCAATTATGAGAAAGTGAAAATGTGAACAGCTTGCCTGTCATTACGCTCTTATGAATATTAGGAGAGAAAGAGAAATCACAAACTGGCCTATTGAGCAGCAGCCTATCTGAGCTTTAGCAAGGCTACAGAAGTTATATTTGTGTCAAATGGCATTTTCCTTGTATCTTTCTAAGTAGAGGTGAGGACCCAACATAAGCTAGGCTTTATTTCATCACATATGTGGTTTAAAGGGACTGTAAATGTATTATCTCATTGAAGTGGTGATAGTGTCTGGAATTTCCTAGCGCCAGACTTTAATTCAGGTTAAACTGTTTTTAGTGTTTTAATGCAAAAGGAGGATTACCCAGCATCCCAACCCCTCTGTGCTGCTTTGGTTAAAGGACCACATACTCGTTTTCCTGGCACTATAGTGCCCTGAGGGTGCCCCCACCCTCAGGGTCCCCCTCCCGCCGGCACTGTGGAGAGGAAGGGGTTAAAATCTTACCTTTCTCCAACGCCGGGCGGGGAGATCTCCTCCTCCTCTCCTCCTCCATAGTGACGTCATCGGCTGAATGCGCATGTGCGGCAGGAGCCGCACGCGCATTCAGCCAGTTCATAGGAAAGCATTTACAATGCTTTCCTATAGACGCTGGCATCTTCTCACTGTGATTTTCACAGTGAGAAGCAAGCAAGCGCCTCTAGCAGCTGTCAAGAGACAGTCACTAGAGGCTGGATTAACCATATTATAAACATAGCAGTTTCTCTGAAACTGCTATGTTTATAAAAAAAAGGGTTAACCCTAGCTGGACCTGGCACCCAGACCACTTCATTAAGCTAAAATGGTCTGGGTGCCTATAGTGGTCCTTTAAGCCTGAGCATTAGCCTGAGCAGCAATGGATAGCTGTGATTGACTGAGAATATCAGATGACTGCTTTCAGTCTATCACAATGCCAATTGCTAGTATGATTTGGTATGCTTAGAAGAAAATGTGTAATCTCTGCCTTATCCATATTTCCAGTAGGGGCCAGGTTGTGGGTATCCATGGAGTCTTATTTAGTGTTAAACTGCTTGAAAATGAACAACTCTGGCCCGTCTCGGTGTGCTCTCGTGACAGATGTACTTTAAAGCGATCTGTTATTTGTTATGTACTTTTACATAGAACATTTTCTCATCTATTTTTTTTTTTCTTCAATTATTTATGGTTAGGTTTAAAAGAAGGAGCTCATCATCGAAGGAAGCAGTATGCAGATGGATGTAGTCTCCAGGAATTTGTTGTTATAAGTGAACTAAATCAAGTGCTGATATAAGGTAGGATATGGGTGCTCTCTATATCGATGTATACAAAGTATACTGGCCATCTATAATTTCATTTGTATAGCTTTTACTGCTATGCAGAGTGCAAAGTGGTAAAGGCAATGGAGTTAATAATCTAGAGCAGGACTGCCATCAGATATTTTGGGGCCCCTACTACTGCTCAAGGTCTGGTCCCCCGTGGGCCTGGCTCCAAGCCCGCCCCCAAATCCCACCCATAGGAATACACACACAGACACAAACGCACGCACTGATACAAAAAGAACACAGATACACACACACACAGGAGCGTATTAGCCGCGAGGCAAACAAGGCATTTGCCTTGGGCGGCATTTTTCTGGGGGCGGCAAAAAACGCCGCCCCCAAATGCCCAGGGCAAATGCCTAGTTAGCCTTGCGGCTAACTGACATCCCGAGCGGGCGGCGCTGGCAGGCGGGCGGCTGGCGAGGGAGCACTTCCTATGGGCTCTCTTCTCAGCTCCCTCGCGCGCCGCAGAGTGAGGCTGGGAGCCGGAAGATGACGTCATATCCCGGCTCCCAGCCTCACTCTGCAGCCGGCGCGCGAGGGAGCTGAGCAGTCAGCTCATAGGAAGTGCTCCCTCGCCAGCCGCCCGCCTGACCTGCAGCCACCGGACCACCAGGGATAGAGACCCCCCCCCAGCACTCCCAAAGGTAAGGAGGTTGGGGGGGGATTTAAATTTAAAAAAAAAGTTAATGTGTGTGTTTGTGTCTGACTGTGTTTGTGAGTGTGTTTGTGTGTGACTGTGTGTGTGTGTGACTGTGTGTGTGTTTGTGTCTGACTGTTTGTGTCTGTGTATGTGTCTGACTGTGTGTGTGTGTGTGTGTGTGTTTGTGTCTGTGTGACTGTGTGTGTGTTTGTGTCTGTGTGTGTGACTGTGTGTGTGTGTTTGTCTGTGTCTGTGTTTGTGTCTGTCTGTGTTTGTGTCTGACCGTGTGTGTGTGACTGTGTGTGTGTCCGTGTATGTGTCTGACTGTGTGTCTGACTGTGTGTGTGTGTATGTGTCTGACTGTGTGTGTGTGTGTATGTGTCTGACTGTGTATGTGTATGTGTCAGACTGTGTGTGTGTTTGTGTCTGACTGTGTGTGTGTTTGTGTCTGTGTTTGTGTGTTTGTGAGTGTGTGCGCGTGTGTCTGACTGTATGTGTGTGTGTTTGTGTCTGACTGTGTGTGTGTCTGACTGTGTGTGTGTGTGTTTGTCTCTGACTGTGTTTGTGTCTGACTGTGTGTGTTTGTGTCTGACTGTGTGTGTCTCTGACTGTGTGTGTGTTTGTGTCTGACTGTGTGTGTGTGTTTGTGTCTGACTGTGTGTGTGTGTATTTAGAAGGTGGGGCGGGGGGGAGGGTTGGGTGGGGGTGGCGCGGGGGGAGGGGGGCGCCTGAGTTTTGTCCTGCCTAGGGCAGCACAAAACCAGGATACACCACTGCACACACATACATACTAACAGACACACATACTGAAACAGACATACAGGCATACATACTGACACATACATACTGAAACAGACACAGACATACATAGTGACACACAGACACATACTAACATACATACACACACACACACACACATAAGGACATACATACACACACACATACATACTGACATAAACACACATACATACATTCTGCAATACATACACATACAGACACATACATACTGCCATACATACACATACATACATACATACATACTGAAATACATACACATACATACAGATATACATATACACATACGCATACATACACATATACATACATACAGATACATACATACTGACATACATACATACATACATAAAAACTGACATACATACATGCATACTGACATACATACATACTGACATACACACATAGCTAATTTTTCTTTGCATGAGTGTGGCTGGGGGTGATGGGAGTCGGCAGACTCTCCCGTCCTCACGGCCTGTCTCTCTTTCTCCTCCCACATGGAGTGAGCTGGGAGGAAGTGTCACTTCCTCCTAGCAGTACTTGTGACTGCAATTTTTTGAAAGGGGCCGACCGGGACCCTGAGGATGTAGAGCCCATCGGGTGGCACTAAATGCTTGGGCCCACCTGATGGGCCCTATCAACGTGCGGGTCCCGGTGCAGCTGCACCGGCGGCTGTTCCGCCACTACACGTGGGGCCCAGGCGGATGGGCCCCACAAGGCTGACGGGCCCGTGAAAACCATCATGGTTGTCACCTCCAGATGGCGGCCCTGGTCTAGAGTATAACAATCATTATTTTGGGACTATAGTTTCCCTTCGATCACCCCATTTGCATTTTAAAAGGTAAGTTAGATAAAGATTACTTACCAACTTTCCTATGCCGGGACTCTGCCTGCTCCACTTTTGAAGACGTCCCAGATGAATCTGTCCCTTGGCTCAACATTGGCATGTATTATTATTTTTTTGTGTACTAAAATAAAGTAAATATTATTACTTATGTAAAGGACAGATCGAATTTTGTAGTCCATATTTATAGCTTTAGTATAAATACAGTTATTCAAGGGTGGTGGGAATAAAAAACAAATCAACATTATATTCACACTTTTGCCTCTAAAACTGTGTAAACAGCTACTATAGCTAAAAATAACAGGATTTCATCTGTATTTTTCTTTTTTTTTTTGCGATTACAGGTCAGATATTACAAGGAGTGCATCACTGATAAAAACAGCTAAATATTTTCAAAACGTCGTTTTTTTTTAGTCTATAGGTATAAGAACAGTCCAAAACCACCCACACAAAAGCAGGGCCAAGGGTCAGTCTGACCTTGGTGTAGGACAGGGATAGGCAACCTTCAGTACTCCAGATGTTATGAACTGCACTTCTCCTGATACTTTGCCAGCATAATGGCTGCAAAAGCATTGTCGGAGATATAGTACACAACATTAAGAGTGCCAAAGGTGTATGATTTCTTTAGGCGCTTATGTGGATGTGGTTAAAGTCTTTCCATACCCTTTTTTATGCCTGCATCTCTTTGGGGTTATTGATGACACCAAGAAAATGTTAGCAAAAATAACAAAGCTGTTACTATATCTGAGTTTGATATTTACTATTTGACCAAAGTGTCATGTAAGCAGCTTAGTGGCTAACACTGTAGGTTCGGGGCATGCAATTAGATGGGTCAGTGTAAATTGGTCTCTGGGTAGGAACATGTGTGGTTGCATCTGAGTTGATGGGTGGTGGGGGCAAGTTGCACATTGGTTAGATGGCTGAATGTGACAAGGTAGATGTAAATGAGTCGCTATGTGAATGCATCTAATTTGGGATATGTGATTAAATGTTGAATTTGACAGAGTGGGTGGTGGAAAGTGGCATGATTCTTGTTTAATGAGTGTACATGACTGGGAGGAAAGGATGGTATGTAAGAGGTGGATGTGTTTACAGTAACTGATAGGTGACCTGTAGTGTATGCAGGGCCGGCGCTACCTGTTAGGCGGACTAGGCAGCCGCCTAGGGCGCCCCTTGGGAAGGGGTGCCGCCAGGAGCGCCGGCCCCACCATGCTGCAGCTGCCCGAGCGCTCTGTAGAGAGCCTCAGGAGGCTGCAGCTTTGCCCGGGCGGTGCGTCCATGAGGGCGGACCGCACCGCCCGCGCGCAGCCTGAGGAAAGGGGCTGACAGGAGGGAAGCGCTCAGCGCTCCCTCCTGTCAATACCTCTCTGTAGCGTGGCCGAGCCCTGTATCATGGTCCACAGATACAGGGAGCATCTGTCTCCTGTACCCGGCCGGACTAACAGGAGTGTGCACTTCCTGTTAGTCCGGCCGGGTACAGGAAACAAAAGCTACCTGTACCCTCGGACTATACTGGGCTCGGCC